GAGTTTGTATCGTGGCAGACTGCTGCGTCGATGTCACTTGCGACATCGTTCCTTTCATCTGCGTTACCGGTACGTTCGACGTTATAGCTTTAGCAGTGACGGGTATTTGAACCAGTTTTCCATCTTTGGTTGCGAAAAATTTCGTTCCAGTCTGATTGAGAAATTTTCCTTTGGGAAGGATCATCTGCTTCTTCGCGTCGATATTTTTAAGGTCGTTCGGCTTCATAAGCACTTGTTTCTGTATAAAAGTAACTTTTTGATTGGTTCTACCCTGTCCTGGTTTTGTAAGAATCATATCACCCTTGATCATATTAGCACTGATTAAATTCGCTTTAACTTGATTTGTCGTCTGCAACGGTTTGTCGAAATTCACCGAAACATCTTGTTGGTTCGTTGTCGAAGATGAATCGTTTCGTTGCAATTCTTCCTTCTTCCGACCAATAGCGGTTTTAAGCTGTCTTTTACCTTTAACGAGGCCAAATCCTCCTATCGAGATAAAAGATAAAGTTGTTGATGACGTGAAACCTTCCCTCGTGAAAATCCATCACCGTTTCGTGTGATGAACGATAACAATCGTGATGAATATATGTAAGTTACAGTTGTTTCTGTTCGTTTTACCACTCTCTTACCCAATTTTTCATCTTTTTCTGGACTCTTCATAGCATTCACAGCAGCGGCCATTTCCATGTCCAATCGACGAACTTGTTCCATGTCCATTTGTTTGTTGGAACCTCTTCTACGCGTGGCTACCATGCTTCCTCCTCTGGTAGTGAGTCCTTTTCTACCGCCTCTAGCTCTTATACCACCTCTCCTGGGACCTCGCGGACCAAAGTCTGAATCATTGTCGGACGGTGGCTCTGAATCCGACGATTCCGTAGATGACATTAATTCTTCTTCGTCCTCGTCGTTGGATCTTCCTTGGTCTAGTCAAAGAAAGACAAGTGACAAAGCTATCGTGATGTCAATTGCGTTTTTTTTTTTTTTTTTTTTTTTTTTTTTTTTA